TATAGCTGCACTTATTTCGTTTGAAATAAAGGGCAACAGAAACGGAGCCTTGTTTTCACTAGAATTATCGCTTTGGGGCGTGGGATATCCTCGGTGCCTATGCCGAGAAGCTATAGTTTCGAAACCATTTGTAATGGCTATTTGGCGCACCAGTTTCGAGGATTCTTCCCTTTGCTCTCTACTTGTGCACACACTGGCAGGGGTTTGAAACATATTTCTTATAAGCGTTCCCACATGTACTTTCTAAACTTTTTGTCCATTGTTTTCATATGAAGTTCTTGCATAAGCATTCGTGCCGCCTTTCAGATGAATTTTCCGTACGAGCAGTTCCGCGCTTACACATATACTTTATGGATAAGCTATTGTGTGTAGACTTCACGAACTTCTGCGGAAGTAGCTCTACCAGATTGTACCAGCTAATAATACTTTTGAACTTTTGAACTTCTCTCTAAGCACTGTCTCTAGTTTCCTCTATCAATACACCACCCATTACAGAAGGAACATATAGAGCACTATTAGTCATCGAGTTAGTGCTCCAGTATCTTTGCATTCCGGTGGGTCGACCCCACTGTGTCTCATCTTCAGTGTTCCATTGTTTTGCCCAGCTTCCTTCAAGTGTTCACTCATCTTTATCTCAATTTTGCCCACAGCCGCAGTTGCTCCACCTTGTAACGGGATTGACTGGGAAAATGGAACATGCCTTTTTCTACAACAATAGAAGTAATTTAAGAAACCCTTAGATTTCCACTAATTGATGTGCCGGATTGTGGGCCAATAAATTTGAAAGCAGTCTCAGCAAAAGCGAGGTTGTTAAACAGCATACGTTTTCTTCCATACAATAACACACATGCAACACAATCATAGCTGATGTTTCGGCAATATCGCCTTTTTCAGAGCCGTTTTTATGTGCTTTCCACTGAGGAAAAACCGCTGATCAGCGTCGCATGTGGTTGACGGCTGCCGTCGACTGAGGCATTATTCATTCATTATTCATGAACATGTTGGCATAGTTCGTGAAATTTTTGAATTCCACCACGTATGAGTTTTTAGTGCCTTCTATAAATCGCACACCATAGTGCAAGCAATACATTCTTGGTCAGAGATCGACACATGATCGGGAAGATACAGGAAGCCTGCGTAACGTTCGCATTCCTGCCTTCTTCCACTAAAATCGCCGACTGGCTGGCTACCTGTACACGAAGAACAATATCACAATGGCGTTTGATTTTAAACGCCTGTGTATTCGTCGATTCTTTTCAACTCAAAAAGAAATGAGGCCTAATAAACCTTTTAGAAAACCACTTGATCGATCTTTCTGATTTAAAGTTGGTATCGATCAACGCCTTTCTTGACATTTGTATTCTTTTTCAAGGAAGACTTCTGGAAATTTCAACTTACTGTTCATAAGAGGAAGTTGTCTACGACAGTCAAGAAGAATCGCTCTTATCTTCACAATGAAAATTGCAAGAATTTGGCTTCAGCCAGAAAATGACCATAAGTGTGATATATTTATAACCTCTGTTACTTGTATTCTTCTTTAAGTCCTGTGTTTTTGTCCATATGATGGCCTGCTTAGTTAATAAGTAGTTCACTTGGAATGATGCGATTTTCAGAGATGTGCAATTCACTCCGAGGAAAAACCCCAAATCAAGAGAGAATACTGTGGTGTTCGGATGCTCATACTAAGTGGCAATAATTTGACAGTAGAAATCAGTGCCAAGGTAATCGAATCTAACTAACTTTAACTTTAATCAATTAAATAAAATTGAATTTGTTCAATAATCTACCGCTTCGATGGAATGAGAGATGCCATCGGCTTATGTGTACAATCCATTTCCAACGCACCACACTTTCTAGTGCTTTCGTTCGACGCATAATAAAACAACTGTTTTGAATGCAGCCATCGTCCGCTTTCCATTTGGTATGAGTGCTTTGATTATAAGTACTCTCGCTGTCTATGAGTCGTAGACATGGGAACGTGGACTTTGTACATATCGGTGTTACTGAATAGAATGACTGCATTGTTAAAAAAAATTACTGAAACGATATAACGCAATCGTCGGAAAGTGGGCCGCCTTGATTCCCACTTGTTCGCCCAATGTTAACAACTCTAACGTCTACCGTAATTCGCTACGGGCACCGTAAACTATGTTGATCATTTTACTCATTTGTTTGCGCAACTCATCCTCTCCCATGAACGTCTCTGATAGAGGTATGTCATGCTGATTAATCGCGAGGCCACGTGGCGCGTCCTCAGGTGGCGCATTGGGTTAATCGCCAACCAAAAGCGACTTTATGCCTTCCTTAGACGCAAGTGGATTGACACATACCTTGTGCATCTGCGAGGACGTATTCATGTATGCCTTAGTGGGTTTGTTCTTGTTTGTGCGGACTGTGTTCTATGAGCCAATTCGACCAAAATGTCTGTCACCAACTGAGTGGAAAGTGAATAAAAGCATTTTATTTCTATCGGTTGGTGGAGGTTGCTTCTAGCGTCCATGCGGAACTCATGTTTAACGAACCGATTGGCCTCAGCTTTGACATCTATGACTACTTCAGCATTACTCCAGTGGAATTAACAAGACGAGTTACAATAATCCCTAGACCAAAAGCAGTAATGAGACCTATGCTTTTGATTTGTTTGATCTGTGTAAAGAGTGAAGGAAAGGATAAAAGGAAAAGTTTTTGGCAATAATCATTCTCTGAGGGATGCGTCATTCATCACAAATCATCAGTTATCTTAGAGGTGGTGGAATAGATATTTGGTCAATACTGTGACTTAAGAATGGCCACTGATATATACAATCTCTATCCTCCCAGACTATTTTGATACTAATTGGCAACTTTGAATGATGGCGTTGGTTTGTCTGCTAAGTGGCGTCGAACTAATCAGCACGTTCTTTATGTAGCACTTTCAACCACTATGCTACGGCTCTACATTTTAGCTCGTAATAAATAAACAAAGAGCTCAAGTCGAGAGACGTTTAGCATATAGCATGATAATCCTGCTTTGACATAATAAATAATGAATAAAGAATTTTGGCTCTTAAGGACTTAAGGAAGGAAAGAATAAGAAGGACTCTTTTGTGAACTATGAAAAAACGTTCGATTTTGCAGCATACGGCAGGTGAATATGTTGGTGGTCACGTGGTGAAAGTGATCGGATGGGGATCCGACAACTGCATGCTGTTTTGGTTCTGCGCCAATTCATGGGATTCCGACTCGAAAGAGAACGGTATATTTGTTTCCGCTACTGAGTGGCCTCGTTCACCACAGAACTTCATTCCGAGTCATTTAACCGTTACTGTTACCTTTATGGAGTTTACAAGTTTCAAGCGCTTGGACTGTCTTCATTTGTCATCCAACCACATGTGTGATATTTCAGGTCACATTGAACGATCCGAATTTAGGATTCTTCCGATTTCTGCGTGGTGTCAACGAGTGCCAAATTGAAACCTACGCCGTTGCCGGAGATCCGAAATTATGAGAGCCAATTTTTCATGTCACGAGGATTAAAGTTGAAAAAAAAACTTAGAAATTCGTATTAAACCAGACCAAAGAAAGTAAGCGATTAGTTAACCTAAAACTTTTCACCCAGCGACCTCGATACCTTTGCCATATTGGAGTAATGATCAGTGCTTTGATAGAAACATTGACAAACAATCAACAATGCAGAAAGAAACTCAATTCAGTAATAACTCAAAAGAACAACAATGGCCTCCTCAGATCTATCCCGCTAATGGGTGATTGCTGATGGGAAAAGATCGATAGAACTAGCTGAGAGAAAGGCGAAACGAGGGACCCCCATGTTATGGTGGTGAACGCGTTACTCCCCGGAAAGGACAATAACGCGTTCGTTCCCACCGTAGACACCTCCGTTCGTTCCGTAGTTTTGCAAATATCTCAGCATCCTTTCTTTGACGAGCTTACACGAGGTTGATAATGATGTTTATTTTCGGCTGGGGTTTCGACGTCTTCGTCTTTCTCAGAGCCGATGATCCGAGTCCTTCTTTATTATTCTTTCTTATTATTATTTCTTATTTATTTATTTCTTCATTTATTATTTATTTATTTTTTTATTATTCTGTATTCTTTCTTTGATGATCTTACACGAGGTTGATAATGATGTTTATTCTCGGCTAACGTTTCGACGTCTTCGTCTTCCTCGGCTCTGAGAATACATATTGATTAGTGATACCGAGGTTCAAGGAAAGTCGGTTTCGAAATATCTCAGCATCATTAAAGTTATATTTCGCAATATATACCCTGCCGTTAAAAATAGTAGGCAGCAAATAATAAGTTGAAATTGTATTGACAGCAATGAAACTATAAGCCATTTTCTTTGGTAAACCAAATAGTAGCCCTAATTTCGCATTGAATCAAATATATGCTAAGATTGGCGCTTTGTCTTAGAGAAACCAAGTCATAGAACAAAACGTTTCCTCAGACGAGCAAAAGAGTGCTCTAGTGGTGCCAAGTTGCCTCGACGTCTAACAACCATTCGTTAAATGCTAGCAATTTCGTTATCGACCGTTTATATGAGTATACTCTGGGGAGAATTAGGTTTCAAAATGATCATACAGGAAGGTGACAAAAATAGGAAGGTGAACACTTTTTCTTGCTTTTGATTACTTCGGTAGACGTTTTTAAATGGGTTGCTTACGAAAGGAACGAAGTTTTTTTTAACGGCTAAAACATTTTTCAAGTGGGCGGATAGCACAGTAGCAGTGATGTTCGTCATTATGACCATAGTGCTTGTTCGACCGCTTTGGGCCAACCGTGCTTGTCATCCCTCTGGGGCGGGAAATTGGTGCCGAACTTGTCTGGGAAAAATCACTCTCTGCAATCCTATTGGGAACGTTCCAGCCCGGTTATCTCAGGACTCCAGGAAGAACTGCAACGAATTGAATGTGAGAAGTGCTGGGGTCTCCACAGTGGACTTGAAGATGAGTTAAAATAGGATAAAATATGAAAAAAATAAAGACATTTTTTACGATGTCTCATTTGAATGACGGATCTGTATTTTGTTTGCAGAATACTGTGTCAATTACCGTAGTTCTTGTCGTTCTTGTAAGAGGTTGGATAGTTGACCTAGCACATATTCTCACAGTTTGCTTGATAACCTTCCGATGGGCACCTCTGAAAGTGGCTAAAGTACTTATAGATTTTAGATTAGAAATTAATTCTGGATTTTTGGTAGGTAGGCAGTGTTCTCAACCAGTTGGAGAATAGATCAGACTTCTTCTGCTTTCTATCTCCACATACCACATAATGAGTAGCGCTGATGTGATAGTCGCACGGTGGGAAGGTATAGGGCTTGCAACCAGTCTATAAAAAGAAATTTGATAACCAAAAGTGTACGAAGAACATAGCTTACTAAAATTCCGGGTGAAGGAATTTTGCGAAATTGTCGCCTTGGTTCGTCTTTTTTTTGCACATAATACCTGAGAAGTATAGTTGCCTCCAGTAACGACGCCAGTGTTTACGCAGTAATACCAAGCTTTATACGGATAGCCTCCATTGCACCTAAAAGCTGCTATTAATATTACAGAGTTATTACGGAGTATGTTATCAGAGGGAAGTGCACACCCATTGCCACAAGATGTGCAGCATGAGAGGATGTCGTCAGTCGAAATAACGACTTGATGTAGGCCCTTTGAAGCAGTGCAAATGTGATCCGTTATTGCTTCAGCGGTTGCGATCGCCCAGCATGAACCTAAATTGGTCTTGTACTCTCAGGACTAATATGACGCTGCCAAACAATATGATTGTTAAGGAAAGCCTTTTGTATCCAGTAGCACAACAGACATAAGTTGCCTCGACCTTTTTGTTGTTCATTTCCAAGAAGTAAACTTTTTATAATTAGAATGTGAGTGGATCACAAGTAAGTTATGTAGAATTTGGAAATAAGAGAGCCCAGTAAAGAGACCTGTCGGTGCCATTAGTAATAACGCGTCAACGGTAATGATCTAGAGAGCACAAATCGTCGTTGACCAGAGTTAAGCCGAATTTGAAGTCGAAATCACAATGGCTGAACGTTCTGTTCACAGTCTATTTTTTTTTCATAGCTAGGTGCAGCGCGAACTACAACCACACGGATCGTGAGATATGATGAAAACTCGAAACCTTAAGTGGCCTTCGAACTCTTGACCTTACCAGGAGATCACGTGCTGTTTCATTCAACGATTCTAATTTGAAGAAATTTTAGTTAACATAGAAACTCGGCCCAGCGATGGAAAATTTAAGCAAAGGACATTTTGTTTCGGTCACCACATGCGGACTGATCACGGGTAGAGTGAATCGACGGACAATCTGGCCGTTGGGCTCGAGCATCGAATGATTCTGCTATAGTCGAATCATCTACATCGCCATGCGTCTTTTAGCTTACCTTGAATTATCCCAGTAGCTTTGGACTTGGTTTTTCGCATGCATAGAAAAGATATGTAGGAAAATCGTAGTCACCCTCACCCACTCGGTATTTTTATGGTAAGGCGAGATATTTCGAATCCATGAGGTGGCGCTTCATCTCATCAAAGTCGTTTGCGAGGCGAGATGATAGCTTTGCCTTAGTAAAACAGTTTGAATATTATTTTTCACGCACTTTTAAACTCAACTTATATCAGTGTTCCCATAAACAATTGTTGAAGTTCGGACCGTGAACAGAGTTTGGGCTTTGTTCACATACTCAACCAATTCGCTACCGGTGAGCTGCTGAGTTTTTCGTAGACCTCCATCTGAAAAACAGAAAAAAAGAAATTCGCTGAAAAATCAGCTTGTGCCTAAATAAAGAACTGAAATAACACCTCGTATTTGCTAAGGAAGAATATAAAGAATTGGTTGATCAATGCTAAGGTTAGTAGACAGTGGGTCATAGGAGTTACATTAAAACGACTTTTCAACCGAAACGATCCTAAGATAATCGCAGAACCTGGACACTGGACCAGATAGAACCATGATTTCCCTTTCCGAGTGCTCGCACATTACACACTGCGCCACAGAGGCCTTCGCTCTGCAATCTTCTCAGCTAGTTTTCTAGCTAACGTCGCCATCAGCAATCAACCGTCGACAGAATTGATCAGGAGAACCCATATCGGCATTGAACCCCGTTAAGCTGAAGCAGCAGTCGAAATCACAAGAGATAGAAAACTAGCTGAGAAGAATGCAGAACAATGGCCTCCGTGGCACAGTGTGTAACGCGCGAGCCCCGTATGGTACGATCTGGCCCGGACTCCAAGTTTTGCGAATATCTTAGCAAAGTTGTGGTTGTAATTAACATCGTACCCTTCCGTGAAAAATAGTAGGCATAAAATGAAAGGTTAGCAGATTTTTCATCTACAAAGTCGGCACTCAGACGAAAACCTGTGTACGCACAGAACAGTCGAGTGAACACCATGCAGACTCACTTTTTTCAGCAATAGCTTTGAATCTCATTTGTGTGTTGAACGAAAACTGTCGATGCAACGACTTGGAGAGCAATAGCGACTACTAAAGGCCTCTGAAAGCTCATATTTTTGGCGGTGCAATCAAAGATCAATTTGTTTACAATGATGGAACAAAATTTTTAAAAACACAACTACCTGCCATTTGGAACAGTGACTTCTATCACTATGCTAAAAAGGATAAAGCTCTCGGCGTTCATCAATTTCTGAGGGGTGCGCCATCCATTCGACTTCATTAAGCATTGTTTGGAGGTGATTGAATGCGTGTCTGGCCTTTACAATAACCCGCAGTGGCCTACCGATGTATCGAGCCAGTGCTACTATCCTCCCAGACAAGACCGGTACCAATTTTCTAACCCCGGAGGTATGAAAGGCTTGGTGGGCTGTGGGCGTGTGGATCTATTCCACGTGTATATCACAGAGCACCTCCAACCACTGCGCCACACGCGTACGTGATTTTATTAAGTGACCATAATTCGATAGTAAAAATTGACCCTAGGGTAAGCGAATCAAACTAGGATTAACCTTGCTAAATTAAATAAAATTCAATTCATTTAATGGACTTTGATGGAATAAGAGGTGTCATCAGCTTCTGTGTAGAATCTATTTCCAACATGCTACACATTCTATGCTTTCGACCAACACATAATAAAAACAACAGCCCTCTGACGGGTGATTGCTCATGGCACTAATCGATAGAACTAGCTGAGAGACAGGCGAAACGAAGAACCCGCATGGTGTGGTGGTGAGCGCGTTACTCCCCGGAAAGGACAATAGCGCGTTCGTTCCTCAGCGCAGGCACCTATGGTCCAGAGTTTCGCAAATATTTCAGCATCTTTGTGGTTGTATTTCGCATAATACCCTGCCGTGAAAAAATTCTAACACGTAGCAAATAAAAAATAAAAACATTAGACTTTAATGCAAACACGGTCAGCAGTCTCTATTTAGTATCAGTGTTCCGATTACAAGTGCAGTCATCGTCCATGAATCACAAACACGTGATCGTGAACTTTGTAGATAACGGTGTTACTGAATACAATAATAGAATAGATAATAGCAAATTATTGGGACGGTGAAGTGAAATCCATGGAAAGCGGGTCGAAAAATCATCATGATGAGCGACTTAACTATAGAGTTGAGCAGAAGGAAGCAAACGGGTGGGAAGCTCTCAAAAACATCGAGAAAGCGGTGAAGCGAACAAAGCTCCGCGCTCACCTTTTCGACTCCGATATTCTTCCTGCCTTAACAAATGAGTTAGAAACCTGGTCGCTACGTGTGTAGGACGAATAATCACGCAGCGCTATCGAACACAAAGTCGAAAGAACGATGCCAGGGGTATCCTGTTTCACACAAGTGGCGTACGGTATTACCTGAAAAGTCAACTGCCACAGAATTCTCAAAACCATTTCTTCTTAGGCGCCTACTAGTGGTGTAAAAAAAATGCCACACTATCACACGTAATCTGGTACCTTTTTCAAATTGATTTTTCCATCTGAATGCGTTTCAATCGTCATCACAGTAAACAATAGATGGGTGGATCCTTGTCCAACAGCACGGCGAGCAGCTTGTTAAAAAAAATGGGGTTGATCTATTTATTAGATCTTCATTGGTACCATTGATAGTTTATCGAATTATATGGATACCAACACGTAATTAAATTGTTGGGCTTACGACGCCGTTATACAACTTTTATTCGGCTAACATTTCGACGTCCTCGTCTTCATCAGAGCCAATGGTCGAAGTCGGTGGTCGTATCGATTCGGACCTTCTTTAGTAGAGGATCTCTCGAATGAGTTATACTTACCCGGCGATGCTCTTTCATAAGAGACGCTGGCTGTTGATAATTGTGATTGATCGGTGATAAGAACTCGTTTTCCCCAGACACACCCTCCTACAGAAGTCGGTATCATTGCCAGCTGGCACAAAGAATAAGAATAACATTTCAAAACCGAATTTCTTTCAGCGTCGTTATGTTATCACCAGACAGTCACTATTTCCAACAGCCAGCATCCTGTACAAGAAAAGAGTATCGCAGGGTGAGTATCCCTCATTCGATAGGTACTCCACTGAGGCTTGATATGATAGCAAACACACCAAATCGGGAAGACGAGAAAGTATGGACCATAGACAATGATCATCGGCCCCGATAAAGACGAAGACGTCGATACGTTAGCCAAATAAAACAGTTGTATAACAACCTCGTGTAAGCTCTACAATTTAAAGACATATCGAGTATGATACCGAGGTTAGAACAAAGTCAGTTCTGAAATATACGGATGTCGTTACATAAAGTACTTCCAGACTCCGAAGAAGGCGGGAGCACCGAAACGTCAGCAACTGAATAACGACAACAAGAGCAACTGATACCTACCTCGGGTTGGCTCAACAAGAGCAGTTCGTAGGATTATCTTTTCACAGTCGTGTAAAAAGTGGTTTTTCGAGAAGCTGTTGATCATGTGATTACCATAGAGCTTTTCGTCCTTTTGTAAGTGTTATTGAAGCGTTTGGCCTAGTAGATTGTATATCAGCATACCCTTCCAGGCTCTGAAGAAGGCGATACTGCCGAAACGTCAGCTAGCGTTGTATTGTATTGTGTTTCTCTATGGAAGTAAATGTATGCTGTTTAACAACCTCGCGATCACTGAACTATAAAACGACGCATTCATTTTCCAATGCCGAGGTTAATAGAAAGTCGATCCTGGGAACTGTCTTTTCGCATTTTTACGGACTTTGGACACTACTCCGAAGTAATCAAACTAAGAAGAGTAGCGGTTATTGTGGTTTATTTTATCTACGTAGACATGAATAAGAGAGTGAATTGAGAAGGTTCTCAGCACGGACGAATTCATTCTGAATACGTCATGCATTCAACTCCATTAAAGCATCATAGGGATAGTTGACTGCTTACTCCACCTGGACAATGACTTGCTGGGACCTATCATAATATCGTTCAGTACCTTGAAGACAAGTCTGCAAGCAATTCACCAATCTCAAGAGAATGATGGAAGCACTATTAACCTTGATTGAATCAAAGACCATGTATGTATATACCATTATATGCCACATTTGCTTCCAATATTAAAAGCGCTGTCCGATTCTCTAGTTCAGCACTTAATAATAAACGAAAAACTTTGATGTGAAATTTCAACTGCGATTTATAGGAGGATTAGGATAGGAAAAATCTGGATGCTGTAGTACACAACTGGTTGATATCTAGATGGAAACGAAATTAAGATGCTGAGATAGAGAACTGGAAACGATACTGTTTATGGGATCTGCGTCAATTCTTAGAACTCTACAATGTTTCTGAGATGTTTGCAAAAATCCGGACCGCAGGTGTTTCCGGTGGGGAACGAACGCGCTATTGTCCTTTCCGGGGAGTAACGCGTCCGCCACCACATGCGGGTGCTTCGTTTCGCCTGTCTCTCAACTAGTTCTATCGATCAGCATATCAGTAATCACCCTTCAAAGGGATTGATCTAGGAAGCCCAAATCCGCAACGAGCCCAGTTAAGCTGTGGCTATCGTTTAAATATGGGTCTCGTCCTGGAATTCCGTTTCAGGAGGATGGGATGTCTCGCTCCACTTCTAGCCGAATTCTTGTGATAATTCAGTTATAATGATTTTCTCAGTATAGACTCATTTACACCTTTCAAATTTTGCGTCTAAAGGTGTGTTTGACATCTTGTATTGTATCTAAAAATTCGATTTGACGACTATTACGAATTCTTTGTGGTTTCAACGAATGCGGAATTGAATCAGACATTCCTGCTTCACGTTCACTGCGTTGTTTTCGCTGAAGAAATTGGGAAATTTTGCTAAATACAAAGCTATAAACAGTCTCAATAGAAAGACCAACATCAGCTTTCAAAAAAACTCAAGTAGTCGAATTGCTGATAGTTTTAGTACCACATTTTTCCTTTGTATTGGACATATCGAAACACTGCACCTTGTTTCACTGACAAGGTAACACAAGGTTGCAACCAAATATTTGTTCGGCTAGCGCTTCGACGTTTTTGCCTTCTTCAGAACCGATAAAGACGTCTCCAAGACGAAAACATCTAGTCGTTAGGTGAACAAATATTTGGTGAAAACCTTGTGTTAGCTTATAAATGTAACAAGGTACATTGGTCATTTACATCGAGGTTAAGTGAAAGTCGGTCTACAACGGTTTCAAAATAACTTTGAGCGATTAAGACTATTTATATCTATTATCTAGAATTAGTTGGTAATATAGGCAAAAAAAAGGGCGGGTGTGGCGAAGTAGTCGGAGGCGCCTGCAACATACACATGAGATCGATCCTCGCGCCCGTAGCCCACAAAGCCCTCCATATCTCCGGGGTCGGCAAATTGGTACCAGACTAGTCTGGGAAGATAGCAGCGCTGGCCTGGCTCGGTTCATCGCTAGGCTATCGCGAGTCGCTGTAAAGGCGAGATATGCATTCAATCACCTCCAACGATGCTTAATAAAGTTGAATGCATGGGGTGTCCCTCAGGGATTGGTCAACGCCGAGAGCTTTATCCTTTTATAGAAAAAATTAAAGCATACCATAACTATGTCTCAATAATGTACAACTTCTTATCTACCGCGTATAATTTTTTTATAGCAGAGTGTTATAAAAAACTGAAAAAGAAAAAACTGGCAGGAAAGGAGAAAGGCAAAGCCAAGGATCTTAATAGTGTAGTGGGTAACAAGTGCGCAGCCGAAAAGGGAAATCGCTGGTTCGAATCTCACTTGGAGTCCGAGTATTACAAGTATCTGAGCATTATGATGCTCCAACATTCATTTAATCCCTGTTCTTTTTTCATGGCAGGGTGCCATGCGAACAACAATAGCAAGGATGCTAAAACAAGAGCAAAACTGGGAACTTTAGTTGGTCTTCGAATCAGCAGTTACTGTTGCCGGGGGCTCACGTGCTATCCATTGTACCAACCGAGGCCTTTGTTTTGATTTTCTCTCAACCACTTTTTTACTCTACCGGTGCTATCAACAATCACCAATCAAAGGAAATAGTCTAGAAGGCACAAATTAGCAGCACCTGATAAGCTGAAGCTTCAGCCAAAACAACAATATCCTAACCTTTATTTTCTATTCTTCCTAGCCACTGTAGCCGTAATAAAAAAATTGTAACAACCGCGTCTAAGCTAATTTGTCAGTCAGAATATTGCTATTAAGTTCGACTGCTTGAGTCTTCGAAGACAGGCAAATCTGCTCCAGAGAAGTGGTTGAAACTAGGACAAAACAAGGGCCTTGGTTGGCATGTTGGATGGTATGGGCGCTCATGGAAAAGGTAATGGGGGAATTGAAAATCAACTATGCTCCCGAGTGCTGCTCGTATCCCAGGATCCTTCCTTACAGTCACTCATCAAGAAATGAATTTTAAAAAGCTTTTAAAAAAAAACGAAGAAACCGAAAACTTTTGAACAAAGTGTAGAAGACGGATGAGTGAATACGAACATCCGCTCAGTAATACCTACCTACTTGAATACTTGGATTGCTGACCTTTGCTGGTATTGCGGAACCCAGCACAATTCCCATTTGGCCAATTACTGAACCGACTTTCTTTTGAACTCGGCATTAATCAATAGTTCACCGTTTCCTAGTTGAGGGAACACGAGGTTGTTAACGACAAGATTTGTTCAGTACAATGCTGGCCGGTGTTTAGGCAGTTTCTCGCTTTCTTCAGATCCTAGAAGAGTTACGTTGACAAGTAATGCGATGTATAAAATGGTCATACAAACGGTTACAAGCTGGTTGGCGCCTTTGAGTGTTAGATAGTATTTCAATCCCTGTAACACATTTCTCTAAACCAACCTTTTTTGAGAATCATTTCATACCGCCTTTCTCTTGTTGGAAATGAAGGACGAAGTAAAAGTGACCTTATTTTCAGTAAACACCGTTTTGTGGCGTGGTTTTCCCTCTAAACTTTTCTTGAATAGATACTATTTCGTAGCCACTGCAAATGGCTATTATTCATGCTAAGTCCAGGGATTCTACCTTTTGCTCTTTTCCCATACACACACTGGTAGCTGTACAAAACATGTTTCTCACAAGCACCCTTTTATGTAAGGAAGGTGAGATGAGACGTAATGAACCAGTATGTCTTTGCCACGTGGTTCTCGGTACCATTTAGTGGTGTAGCCGTCTTCGAAGAGACTGATTTGAAAGTTTAAAAGCGGAAGCCGGTTCTTCTTCGGCTTCTCTTGAGTAAAGGCTTTGTATTCTGACTATTGGTTTAGCAATTTAAATCATTTGTCCATCTCCTCCAGTGTGGAGCAATTGACAAAGCCCTTAGCTACGCAATCTTCAGGCTCTTTCTTGTACACACAATGGCGAGTTTTGGAAATAAAATCTTTCTGTGAAATATTACAAAAATGAGAGGGTTGGCTATGGGACAGCAACCGATGCTCAGCTTTGATATTGCTTTGTGTCTAAGGTGGAGGCACTAGTAATCGATCTCAGGCCATCACTTTACTGTAAGTAAACCGACGACTGTTTTATCACATGCTCAACACAAAAGGTGACGGATAAATGTTTCAATTTGCTAGCAACACTCAGAATACATACCCTTAACGCGGGAAATACGGAGGGAAGAAGGGATTCCGTTTTTGAACGTCTAAATCACCCTCTTCAAAAACGTCTACACCACTTAGTTGTAGGGAAAGCCAAGCAGCCAAAACATACTGGTTCATTACTTCTCCTCTCACCCTTCACACATTAAAAGTGCACTTGTGAAAAACATGTTTTTCAACACCCGCCATTGTGTGTAAAAGAACGGAGCAAAGAAAAATCGCTTATGAAACATTAGCCGCTCGGGATAAGTATAAGGGAAGAACCACGCACAAAAACGATAAGTCTAGTAAAAATGGGTTCCGATCCATCCTACCCTTCATTTCAAACGAAATTAGTACAGACATAAAGTGCTTTCTTAAAAAGAGCTGCTTTGATAAGTCGGTAGCAGTGATTGAAATACCACCGAATACTCCAAGACGTCAGCTAGTTCGTAACCGTTTGTATAACCGTCTATGTGAAAGGCGCAAATACATAATTTGCTGTAACTGCCACGACCGACTTTCTATTAACCTCGGCATTGATCAAGTAATTTTCCTCGTATTTTTGTTGAGCAAACGCGAGGTGTTATTATTCTTTGTTCACGATTAAGCTGACGTTTCGGCGGACTTCGCCTTCCTCAGAGCCTGGAAAGGTCAAGTTGACAGCAATCCACTCGGCCAGACGCCCCCACAACCAAACAAAGAAACTCTAAACCAAGACTTCAATCACCTTGAACACAGTCTTGCAAGCTCACCGCTTCCTATGAGGTTTCCACTATGTCACGTAGAGACCAACCCCACAGAAATCACATGGAAGTATAATGTGCCCCTCATATCAGAAAAGCAGTTTAATATACCGCCCTATATCACGCGTGATAATGAGGCATTCTTCCCTGCGGTTCATTTTCGGATTTCTGGAATTAATCCAGAGTGCCTCGAGAGTTTTTCATAATAACACCTCGCGTTTGCAAACAAAAATACGAATAATTTGCTGTAACAATAGAGATGGTGATTGCACGGGTTCGGACACGGTTTGCTTGATCTTTTGTGAAACGTGTGGGACGAATATGCTGGCGAAACGGGGAGACCACAGTGCATTCATAAGAAGGAGCACCTAGACAACAAGCGTAAAGTTGAACAAAATGCAGCACTAGGCGCGCAAAGGACCCACTGACGTAGCGGAGAAGATTCTGAGGCAGGCCTTCAGCGCGTAAAAATCTTGAAACGCTTTGGATAAACTCCGAAAATCCGAAAACAAACCGCCAGGTGGAGTGCCTTGTGATCAGGTCTGATCTCGCGCCAAATCTCACATCGATTTTTTGATCTGAGGCACGTACTTTTCTCACCCATGTAAGACTCCGTAAAGGCTCTTCACCAATAATAACTGGAAAATTTAAGGACAGCGAAACGGTGATTGTTTATAAGAAGCTCTTCGCTTTCACTGCGAATAAACATTTGTGTATTAAGTTTTGCCTGGAGGACTTATGATAGTGTTTGATTGAGTGGATTACATCCTTGTTTGTGTAAAAAAGAAACCTCGTTTCTGGTTGGTTGTTTCCGCTGAGCAGTGGAAAAGAGTATAACTTCTAAGTAAGTGTTAGATGTCAGAATAATTTCAGCTTTAGGATTTATTCAAACCACTCAGCAGGTGAGTGAGCGGTCTGAAACGATATATTTATAGATAATGTTCGCCAATCGTTGAGCAAGTAGTGTGCATCGCGTTGATGATCTTCATGGAATCGTGAACATTCTTGCACAAGTTGTTCAGCACGTACATGTACTTTAAGGCATAGTCGAACTGAAAGCAGCACAGAAAGTTATTCATAGCCGTAGGCGTATATGATCTTGCCTATTCATCTTTTTCGCTTAGCGAATGTGACCTGGCACTGAACATTCAGAGTGGTTGCACGAACAGCACGTGCAACTGCCCATGAGCGATTTCCACTCCAAAGGTGTTTAACTCTCTCTTTTGGTGACGTTCTCAATAGTGGCGGTAATTAATTTTGGCCTAATCAAGTACAATTCTTGTGAACACCACTATTTAGCGACTTGGAACTAAAACTCGACGCATGTCGGTTTCAAAAAGTTGTTACCTTGTTCACGTCGACACAAATCGAGTCGAACGCCTTCACTACGTCGTTGTGGCACTTCAGATCTTCGACAACATTTCGCTCCTCGATCATGCGTTTCCTGGAAGTGCAGAGTTTCAACCAGCGAAATAGAGAAATAGTGGTTAGTTTTTCACCACTACGACTGCGTGTTACGCGTTTGGGCTTACGCATAATCTTTCAACCGCTTCAATTGCACTGAGCTCAATGTACACGCTCCGTTTTAATCTACACTCTATAACTTTTATGTTCTATTCATATCTCCAAGTTTTTTGAACATTTTGAGCGAAGACGTCTTTTGCCACGAAAAATACTGACTAACATTACAAGAATGGTCTTCTCTAACATTTGTACTCGCTTTTACAAAACCCTCCCAACGGTTCACCTCAGGGATGTGCTCCTGGGTGTCGGGCTGCTATCTGCAACGGAGGGATTCATTCCCTCGGCAGGGTGAGCCAAACTGAGAAGGAGTCTGGCTTTTCCATCAGGAAGCCTAGCTAAGGGTAAGCCAATATCAGGATCCACCACCTTCCTGGCACCAAAGTCGCATGGTGGCAAATCTCGCTCTGATGCACACGGGCTGCGACTGTATGTAGTGGTGACGACCTGGGGCAGACTTTGGCTAGGCTGACCTCGGGACTGCAGTGAAACAATAGTTAAACCAGCAAAACTCCGACAAGTGGAGATTATGCTTAGGCCCGCACAACTAGTGAGAACGGGCCGTTCAAGTATCAAGTTTTATAAAACACGTTGAACGTAGTTTTATATATTATCAAGTGTAGAGAAAAGTTTTCACTGACTGGATCTAGCACAATACCTTTGTTGCATGAACTAACGAATGTATATCGTATGTTAGAAAAAACTAAGCGACAATGGAAACCTTCAGAGAGATGCATTAGCATGTATTCGTGATTAGGTTAAACTATCTAGGTGTGAGCGGAGTAGATTCACTCTTGTTCACCATTATAACAGTACCTGTCATTGGCGTTGGATAGAAGACTGGCGACAAGTCTGTCGAATAGTGCTTCAATATTGTATCTATCCTAAACTATGCAGCTGAATACAAATTATCCTTGTTGTTTCAGTTTAAAAAAGCAAAGGGAAAAAAGACTCATTCTGTAGCTGTTTTTATAAAACGTAATTTATCATGGGAAGCTGTAGCACAATGGCGAGAGCTGCCTCTACGATGTACATGGTCATTCATTCGATCCTACGCGCTGAGCCACAATCCTCGTATCCATCTGGAGTTGGCATATTGGTAAGAGACCTACCCGAGAAAATAGAAAATACTGGCTTGAAACATCAGTATTTCCCCGTAAGGCACAGTGCAGGATAGATGTACATTCAACCAAATATATTTTAAGTGGAATCGAGTATATATCACATTCACGAGGCTTTGCTTCATCCAGCCGAACGCTTTGTCCTTTTCTCTTTAATATTGTAACATCCTCAGAAACATTCTCTGTTCAACCTCAGGGATAAACTTTTTGAAGTACTTGGCTATTGACCTACTGTTAAGGTATCGTTAAGATAAATTTTAACTAAAATTAAGTGGGAAGCTGCTCGCACTTTTAGAGCTTTTCATTTCGAATTGTACCTCGAAAATTTTACTGATCCTCTGTTCCAGAACTTTCGACATCAGTGCGTCGTTTGTGGTTTTCAGAAGTTTCTGCAGATGCATGAGCTCGATATCTCTTGAAGGCCAGGAAACCTTCTGATGCTCGTCCTGAACGATAAATAATCTATGTGGGAAAAGTGATTTCAGTCAACTGCATTGTTGCCTTGAAGCTAAACTATTCATGAGTTTAGCTTGTAGCGGTAAGTGAATTACAAAGGACCACAAGCTTCTGATTTGCTTTTTAAGCCAATCGCTGACCTGATTGATGTCTTCCATTAAGGGCGATGGGCCGGCTATCTTCTTTTTGCTGCTTCCTTCAAACGTGCCAATTGTTTCTTTTGTGATTTTAAGGTCACCGTATTGCATCACATGTGATAAGTTTGTAAGTGTTCTCACATCTTTGAATTGTACTAGAAGTGTCTCTACATCAACGTTGTGCTGAAAACGAAAATTTCTATTAGCGCGGAAAATTTCACTAGCCCATAGGGTTACTTGCTTTTTCCTTCCAAGTTATCAAAATCTATTGATAAATTGTGGGATGGTTCTACGTGCGTTCAACAGGGAATTTGAGTATTAGAGGCGACAACGTAATACTACCTTTTCTAGATTATTTTTGTTTTTTTTTTCTTATTTTCGCCTTCTTGTGCCTACCATGAACGAAATCTTTACTTTTCTAAGCTAACAGTCATCTTCTTCTTACTTTGAGTTTTTCTCTCCGTCCTTCAGTTTCACGTCTTCACCATAAAAGCTCTTATTTTTGTTTATACTCTAATATTATTAACACGACAGCACAGGAACAGCGGTTGTAGTGATGCAGTAAGATGACAGCAATGGTCACTGGAGGTAGGCATAAAGTTCGAAAGGACTATGGAATCGACAACATTCAATTCTTACGCAGTGGTCATTGACTTCTAATGTGTGCTGCCAGTAATAGAAATCTTAACATAATTTTGTGCTTTGAGACCTTACAAACTAACACTTCTGTTAATGTTGTGCTCACATGAGAACTTCTAACTCTTTCAACACTGCTATTCTTCTCTGGTTAATTTTTCATTTTATATTGTTTCACGCGCAATAGGACGCGTGTGGCATAGTGGTCGAAGGCGCCCTGCAATACTCACGTGGAATTGATTCCCGTGCCCATTGCCCACCAATCCTTCCATCCCTCCGGGTTCGGTAAATTGTTACCAGACTTGTCTGGGAGGATAGCAGTATTGGCTCGATAGATCGGTAGACCACCGCGAGTCATTGTAATGGCCAGATATGCATTCAACCACCTCTAAACGATGCTTAATGAAGCCTAATTCATAGCGCATCCCTCAAGGGTTGATCAACACCGAGAGCTTTATGCTTTATCCTTTTGTTTATATTGTTTTACACAATCTGTTTTCACATTTACTGTGCTGAATCCTGCATTTGCATTCAACTGTTATCCTATCATCCACCATACACGAGGGCCTTCCACGAGAGCCAACATTTTGGGTGGGATTTCGTCTGCTCGTTGAGGGTTTTCTTCTTCTTTTTGAATGCCGTCATGTGTCAATCGAACCAATTCTTCCTGTAGTCATGGGATGGCACATCCAAAGCGTTCTAGTTCGACTACAAAGAGTGAACTGTTCTCAGACCTGTCTGGTAGGAATTTTCCGACACCGGAAGGATGGGAATCTTGATGAGCTCGGTGCGGAACTGAAACGACCACATGATTGTGGTGGATAGTGTTGACAAGTAACACTTATCACGAATCTTCGTCACGGGTCTATTTGAAGTTTCTTAGGTAAAATATGAAGGTCGTGACTTCGTATACTTTTTTATCCTTTTTTGTGGTACTGGTAAGATTATATTTTTGAACGGTATAACTTACTGTACAACAAAATCACTGGTGGCAAACAGCGACAAAAGACCACTTATGTGAAGGAAAATGTCGGGTGATTTAAACAATGAAAGAAGAAGCTCTGCGTCGACACTGACAAGGCAAGACGAACTACCGGTGACTCTATATAACACCCTTTACTGATGAAATGCGTGCAGCGCAGTGAATATAGTGCTTCGTTGCAATACACACATTGCCACTGGTTCCACTTTCGCCTTGGCCAAAGCAAATAGAATAGAACTGTACCGCTTCAGAGTCTTGCATCCAGTTTACTGAGAAAAGATCGCCGAGACATGGCAGGTTCATGTCGTTGTCACAATACGTTCCCCAAGATGACTCGTCCGGATTCGAAGCAGTCATCGCATATACTCAAATGGAAAGTTGAAATTATGAGTACTTAAGGCAGAAAAGAAAAGCAAATTGCAAATGAAGGCATTAATTTTGACATAGCCTCGCTAACAACAGGCTTGCCAACCGCATTCTATTTATTAATCACCGCTTTGCCTTCTTGTTCTTGAAGAAACGCTTCACTATTGACTGCTTCTCGCGATCTTGTGCAGTGGTAACTAATCATGAAGTACCTCACATTTCATGTGAATTGAAAATGTTAAAGGGAATTGGAGCTCTAGATGTACTCGGGTACTTGGATACTCGAACGGCTCGTCCTCACTGGTTGTGTGGGTCCCAGCGTATTCTCCATTTATTTATGAGTCTTGCTGGCTAAGCCATTGTGGTTCCTTGGAGTCCCGAGATCAGCTTGGCCAAAGTCTACTTCAGGTCGTCACCACGACAGGCAGTCTCAGCCGTGGTGGATCCGAGGGTGATTTGCCACCATGCGACTTTAATACCGGAACGGTGGTGGATCCTGGTATTGGTTTACTCCTAGCTAGGGTTCCAGATGGAAACGCCAGACTCCTTCTCAGCTTGGGAGACACTGGCGGGGAAACGAATCCCTCCGCTGTACATCGCAGCCCGACATCTAGAGATACATTCAATCCACGATGAGGCGGAAAACCGTTAGAAAGACTCCTGGTGCACATGAAACTTAAAACTAACTACGCATTTTCTTCTTTAGTGTTCCATCAAACATTGAACCACTTTCACACGCCTCCAAGTAGAAAACGAATTCATCGTAGCGCTTATCCTCATACATATTCTGAAGCGCCGTGTTCAGATCCTCTTTCGTTAGCTGAAATTTCAATACTTCGCAAAAAGGTGGTTAGCTGCCACGGTTCAGGTCAAAACTCAGTTGTTTAAAAAATCTAAAGAAAGTTTTCTAAGGTCCTTACGATATCGTCCGGGAAGGCAATTAGGCCATCGCCGCCGTGGTCAGTGAAGTAGACGAAGATGCGGTCATGGGAAGTGCTGAATACACAAGTAGGAGTGTTCGCCTTCAGCAATTCTTTTGAACCTCATTACTCACCTGTTAATGACTCGTCCATTGCCTCCCGTTACGTTTTGAGCGTTACCTTGAAGGACATTTAAAAAATTTCCGGGAGTGACAGAATCGCCCTATAAGTGAACAATGAAATGGATGGATTCTAAATCATTTTTGTATTGTAGAAAACATCATACTGCTGAGTGTACTCCCATTTGCAGTGGGAAACGAGACAGGGGTCTCCGCAGATTATGGTATATTTACTTAAATTCCAATTTATAAAATTTGTATAATAACCTTGTAGTCAATCTTCAGCCCAGCGTAGACATCAGGACCATGTGGTCGGTTGAAGAGCTTTCCAGGAAATGGGTTGCTGAAAATGCAGCCTTCGAACGTTCAAAGCGACACTTGCATTTGTGAAACATTATATTTTAAAGCATCTGACGAGTTCCAACCGAAAAAGTTTCGTCGTTGTGTTATTATCTATCGTAAAACTTTAGGGAGCGATCGTACAACTATGTTCTCAAATTGTACAAGCAAGAAGCAGGAAATATCCGTGCCATGCACAAAGGCACTACTCTTGGTGGATTCTGAAGACCGCCCCATCTTGGAACTAAAACAAGGGCAACTCTTAACGAACACTGATCATGTCAATGAGGAAAGATGCGATAGGTTGTCAACCCGTCGGCGATCAGTGGCACGAATTTACCCACTGCTATAGATGGCAGTTATAAGTAACTAAAACGATAGAAGAAGTACAAGAACCCAAATATAGCGCGAGTGGGGACAATCTATTTAGCTCAGCGATTTTATAAAACTATTATTATTTGTAATATTATTGGGGTTGATGTGGAACGTATAAGGACATATAATTTATCGCTGTGCATTGGGAGGCAAAAAGCTTATAGATCAGCTTCTCACTCTGGATCATCAGCAATGTCGTCGTACATCATAACTATGATATTGTCTTCAGGAACTCCGTTCTTTTTCAGCAATTGAAAGGCATGAGCGGTGTCAGCCTGAAAATGGGGTAGAGACTTATTTATCTTAGAACCGACATAATCTTCTTCACTTGGTTAACCAATGAACAGCGACCGTCGGTTCTATGTTGAGTGGTAAATGAGGAAATACTTTCAGATTTTGCGTTTTATGGTCTCTTCACCTTTCCCTCTTTGCTATGTTTAAACATATGTGTCTAAATATATATATATATATACCTGGTGACGATAGTTCCACCATCCGTTTGAACCAGCTACCAATAAAGCATAAAGGTTTCCCTTCGGTGTCTTCAATAACCCATCATCTTGCAGGTCACTTGAAAACTGATTGTAGAAAAACTTTTTTAAAAAAAGGGACTTTTGAATATACTAGAAAAATTCTATCGCTACATTTAGTTGACAATTTTTGTCAATTGTCTCATTCAACTTACCTCATTTCCACGTATAAGGGAAGAGCGAAGAAGAAGAAAGACCACATGAGAACTCTCATCTTATCTGAAAATTATTGGTAGCATGTTAAGGCACTAAGAATGCTATCAAAAAAAAGCTATTGGGTGGTCAGGATCAAATAAGCCGCCATTTAAGTACCCAACTTAGGGTCACGCCCTCTGTACAACAGAGTTGATAAGGAATAGTCATAGAGAGAAAAGACGGAAGTGATGGCAGTGTACCAGAAAAAACAGAGCTTATATTTGAAAAAAGTGAAAAATAGTTCAATTTTCAAGAAGTAACAGAACAGAAAGTTTGGATAAATTTTCGAAATGCTGGAGAAGGTAATAAACAAAATAATAGGTTTTGTCCATAGCAGGTTGAAAGAGCGGGAGCAAGAGTTGGGGCGGATAGCGCAATGGGGAGAGACTCCCTGCAATACACTTGGTCGTTGGTTCGATCAGGTGCCCGGATTCTCCAAGCCCTCCATCCCTTCGAAGTTGGAAGATCTGTTGAGTGGCACCACTGTTTTTGTGATATATCGCAAATCACTGTTATGGATGTCAAATGAATAGCCCGTCCCTTTGGAATTGATCAATGCCGAAACCAACATCCTTTACTTATCCCTGATTATGCAAATTAGCCACGAATCTACCCTTTAAGATCCATTTAACAATGTTTTTAGACTTGAGCAAGAGCGATTGTCAAAACGGTCTGCGGCAATGTATGGTGTGTCTGTTATAAATTCCTTAAAGCAGATTGGGACGCTTACCCGATAGAGACTACCCAAAGTGGAGTTTTTCATTGACTTTGAGCTTATGAAACATGGAGGAAACAGCACGAATAAGATTGAAATCTACGAACAGTCTGTGTTCCACGGGCGGCTTTCAGGCAGGCAACGGTTGTCTCACTCCAGAGTAACCGCGCCTTTAACGAAGATGATAAAATCTTTAGATTTTCCGAACTCGAATTTTGTGCGAAGTATGACCTATTTGCTTAATTTTTATATAGCGCGACTTAATATATTGTCTGGATTCTTGCATTTCTTTCATTCGTCTCTTTGCCTTGCATCCGTCACCCATCGAAAGTGTTCGGATCTACGAATGGGTTCGGCTGCTACTCAAGAACTTTGTCTTTTTCGTGGAAATTGTTTAGTACTAATTAAAGTAATTTTATTTCAACTTCGATGATAGCTTTGCTATAAAGCTTTCAGATGTTTATCACAGAAAGTCAACTGCCATTGTGAATTGGAGGGAGCTTTTATGTAGACGTTTGATATCGACCTCGAAGATATGGAAGCCGCTATTGACCATGAGCAGCGTAGAACCAAATGGTTGCATAACATGCCTTTCACAGCATCCGTATGGGTAAAAGCATTTCTCCACAATTTCCAACTATTCCACACCAGTACTGATTTCTCTCGATTTCCTCTTCTCTAGTCTTACAGTAAGCTCAACCTCAGCCTCACTTTGCCACTACTTTATAGTTTTTGCTCTACCATTTCTAACGAAATATACGACATTAAAGAGGTTTAAGAGATTTTTCTCTGCCATCGTTTGCTGTCATTTACCAATCTTTGCGAATGTTATTGGCACGGCTTTCACTGAATTCTAGGACTTGAACCATGCCTTCATGTAATTTGTCTCGTTAGTCTGTGCACCAGACTAAGGTGCTAATTTTTTATAAAATTAGTCGCTTAAATTATTTTGTTGTCTGACTTACAATGGCCAGTTAAAACCTTTAGAGTATGCATTGGCACACTGGCATGGAAGGACAATCTCATCTTTCAGATTGATTCGAAACACCGAACTCAGATGAGTAAGCGGTCGAAAACGGCACATTCATAAGTATTGTTGGCCTATCGTTGGCCATTTAGTTCGTATTACGTCGACAATCTTCTTCTAATCTTCTGTTTTCAGTCACCGATTGTTCTGCACGTAGATGCACTTCGAGACGTTGCCGAACTAAAATAAGCATGAAAATTCGTTTGCAGCTACAGCTGCAGCGATATACGGACACTCTTTGGTTGTGTTCTTACATGGTTGACCTAGCCAGTGTGTCTTAACCCAAATTTATGAATTAACAAGCTGGTTTAGAAGCTCTGGATCTAAAAAGCTGCTGTCATTCTTAGACCTTCCATCAAGCCGTAATTTTTGAATTTTGACGATCCTTTGCTGCAGCATCTCTAAAATGAAGTTATTAAACTAGTTAAGGGATTTTTCAAGCTTTTCTGGACACATTAGTTTGTATTGTATTCTTCTTCCTAAAAATCGGAGGATTCCTTCGATGTTGCCCTGGTTTGTTAGGGAACGCTGCGAGTAAAGCCATCTCAGTTTTCTACGTGACTGTGACCAAGTTCAATTGCTCACAACTATCGTTTGTGAGCAAATAATAGAAGGCTCTTTGAAAGAACCATAATTATTATGGCCAGATTCCTGAAGAAGATACTATCCTTGCAAAGAAAATTTTTTTAAGCACTGAGTGTTATCCCATTCCTCGTCTCCTTATATAAACAGATGGCTGACTCGGTGGTGAACTCAAGGCTAGCGAAATTCATCAAACCCGACGACGCGGTGTTCTTTGAGCCTCGCGTTGGAAGCTCTGTTTTTCATGCCGCTATAGGTAAATTTCTTTAATCTGAGCAAAACTGCTGCTACGCCAAATATCAGAGAATTTCGGTTTACAACTTAATCGGTGAGACCGATGTGCTACAAAATGTTCTCTCTAGTCGCATCTCCCAACAACGCGTATCGAAATAGCGACGTAAGCCATTTTGCCTATCTATCACAGAGGAATTTTTCGTCAGTCCTTCTCTATCATGCCCCTTAGATAATTTTCTACCAGCTTTCGCTCACAGGCCATAGTTATTGCGTGAAAAACTGAGAAACATAAAACATAGATGTAATTGGCGGATTTGGGATCAGAATCGATTATGGGATAAATAAGTCTTATTTTTTCTCAGTGCTTAAGATATTTGAACGATATCACAGTTTTTGGAAAGGGTATTCCCAAAACATTGCCATCACTTGGAACAACTCTCGTTCCGGGATTGACTTCCTATCAGTATTGGCACTGATCATAATAATTCATTCTTTTTCTTCAATGAGCAAACATGGAGTTGGTTTTGAAGCGTAGTAGCCGACGTTTCGGCAGTATCGCTTTTTTCAGAGCCTGGGAGGGTCAAATTGTTATGAAATCTAGTCACCCAAGTACTTTGATAACCTAAGCAGATGAAACTTAGCGCATAAATCCACATTCGCGCAATAAACAGCCTCTTTTAAACACCCACCCTTTCGTTTGTTGTAGGTCTTCCAGATAATTGCTCGAAATCAACTGCGCAGAGTATTAAGCGGGCGTGGGATGTGCATGGGTCAGATCACAAAATCAGCGTGAGGTATGGTGAGAGGTCACACGTGATCACAAGGAACTCCTCTTTGCGGTTCGGTTTTGGATTTTTGGAATTAATCCAAAACGCTCGAACAGTTTTACGCGCTGATGATTTGGGTTTCAGTGGGAAGTTGGTGGCTTTTAGTTCAAAATCTCCAATATGTCTGTTGCCTATGCGTACCTACTTAAGTGTTTGGTTCCAATTTGAATTTGTGTTCTTTTTGAGGACGCAGAGTGGTCTACCCGTTTCAACAACGTATTCGTTCCCACACGCTTTACTGGAGATTTTGTACACCGTGCCGGAACTCACGCAATCACCGTCTTTAGCGTTAGGGCATATTATGCAATTTTTCGCTGTACATAGAAGGTTTATATAGTCAGCTACGAACTAGCCGGCATCTTATAGTGTCCGCTGGTATTGCAACTAACGTTACTAAATTGACATAGGCAACGTTCTATAGCTGCACTTATCCCGTTGGAAATAAAAGGCAGAATAAATAGGATCTTATCCTCGCTAAAATTGTCGTTTAAGGACGTGGTCTTTCCTCTCCGCGTATCCCGAGTTACAGTTTTATAGACATTCGAAACGGCTATTTGCCGCTTCTATTTCAAGGATTCCTTCTTCTGCTCTATCTCTGTGCACACACTGGTGGCCGTTCGAAGCATATTTCTTCCAGCTCCCTTTTCTTACGTGGTGGGTGAGAAATGAAGTAATGAATCACTACATTTTTACTGCTTGGCCTTCGGCACTATTTCGTAGTGTAGCCGTTTCCGAATAGATTAACGCGCAAACTTCTTGAGGCTTTTTGGATAAACACCAAGAACCCTAGAATGAATAGCAGGGAGGAATGCTCGACCACACGAGATTTTGCCCTATACCTTCGCAACGACTCCTGACATGAGGTGGTGAATTTATCGACAATGTAGCGACTCTGATCTGCTGTTCTTGCTCAGTGGAAGGCAAGTAATAAACGGTGGGTTTTTCGAGAAGCTGTTGATCGTGTGATTGCCATTTAGATTTTCATCTTTTTGTACGTGTTGCTGGAGCGTTCACATAGTAAATTGCCTATCAATATACTCTTCGAGGCTCTGAAGAAGGCGATACTTCCAAACCGTCAATTTTAACGGAAAAACAATAAAGTAACATTTTGTCTTTGCTCAACAAGAATATTGGAAACTATTTGATCAATGCCGAGGCTAATAGAAAGTCCTCCCAACGATTTACCGCCTCATCGTGGCTGGGAGGTGTTCCTGGGTGTCGGATTGCGATGTACAACGGGAGAATTCTTTCCCCTAGCAGGATCTCCCAAGCTGAGGAGTCCGGGGCTTTTCTCGGAATTCTAGAAAACCACAGTGGCTTAGCCAGCAAATCTCCGAAAAACGCTGGGGCCTGCACAATTAGTGAGAACTAGCCGTTCAAGTATCAAGTATCAAGTAAGTAATAGAAAGTCGGTCGTAGGGATAACTCCATCTCCTTTTCTGTGAATCAGATAACAAGGCAATCGTCTATATCTGCAGTAGAGTAATGGCCCGTAATCGATTAGTGGTGCCTTCACCTCAGACATAACCCCGATTGCAAGATTTGGTGCCAGTCGTTGTCCCATTGCCAACCCTCTAATTTGGGAGTAGTATTTCCAGAAGCATCTGAAGATCGAGCAGTTTAGCAAAACTTTA